ACGATGATTACCGTTGTGTGTGAAGCATGTTGAGATGGCCCCACTGGTACCAGGCATAACATACCTCGGGGAGAGCGTCGAACGAGTAGCTGCGCCACCCAAGAGTAGACATGTGTGGGAGGCAAAGAGGAGAAATGCATACCACGAGACGGTCGATCAGTGTCTCGCGTGTTATCCTTGGCATGAGACTATTGTGTCTTCATTTGTGTTTAGATAGGTTGCCCTTACTTTTGGGGGTTTTCGGGACTCTGCAGTCAGACCGGCATTACGTGCACGACGGGGCACAACACTTAGCTTAATAAAACACTATCAAGGGAACGGGTATGTTAATCAGTAACATGCTTTGACATGCCTGAACCTGCTTTATAGGGATCAATAATAACCTTTTTTTGTGAGTTTCGTACGCGATTTCTCGCACCATCAAACTTCAATAATTGAAACATCCCACAGCAACGATTGCATCGACTCTATCTTCATGCGTTTAGTTCCTTGCTCTTGTAATGTTCTTCCCCTTTCCGCATCCTGGTGAGAGTTTAGATTATGTTCTGCATCACACCTCGGAACTGAGGTAGCACAATGTTGTTTATGGCGTTTCATTCTGTCTTCGCATGAGTACAACAGCGTGTGGGATATGTTTTCTGTGTCTTGAGGAACAATAGGATGTATCACTTCTCATCACTGTGCTGCGAACACTTCTTCTTCATGGGCGAAGTCAGTACAAATTATAACCACCATTCATCTAATCGTAAGTATAGTATAATCTCTCGGTTTTGGTTCGCTGTTCCCTAAAATATTCCTGCTGTTGTTACAAGATTCCACCCCTATCTTTTCTTAATAAGAGATGCTAGCGAACTCTAAAGATATTTTTTACCATATTTGATGATCGGTTGCTACTCTCACAGTCTTTTAGATCCACGTCCGATATTTCTCATCATCTCATGGGTGGCCATCTTACTTTTACGTACTTTTTAGTTGAGCACTCTTCCTGCCGTTTTTCATGTATCCCCTGGTATGAGAGTTCTCTCTCGTAGATGGCCAATTCGTCTAGATTTTAGAGCTCATTCAGTTCGAGATCAGAATTCTTAAAAGTTTTAAGAATTGTTCCTTACATGAGTTGATCTCGTTTCCATTATCACACTCGAAACACTCCAGTGCTCCATCTCATGTCGCTCTTGTTGTCCTACGACAAATCCATTCAGCTGTTCTTCTTTCTAGTATAGTTCTGCTCTGATATACACATTCGAATGTTGCACCTTGTGAATCAGACCCTCCCTCCCTTCCATTGGTTCGGTCTTCTAATCGGAAATTAAACTGCTGGATGTAACATTCCGGAGTTCCGTGGAGTCTTTTAACACTCAAGAAGTTCGTGCATTATTACTTATCCTAGTCACCCATGTGTCCAACACATGTTTTGCTCTCCATCTTTCCTCTAATTCTATGTTCTTCTATCTGTGTACTTGTTCAATCAGCACTGCCCTGGGCTGACCCTTCTTCATGACTTGTCTTCGTTCATACATGTGTTTGTCGCAGTCTTCCTTGCCAGATTTTTCATGCTGTGCCTTTGTCTGTCTACTCATCCGTATTGTCTGAATTCCCCACTTCTTAATTTCTTTTTCTCGTCCATTCTTGTTCGATTTACTGCTAACGGTCTAATTACTCAGGTTGGGCACAGCTTGAAATAATCCCTATACCTAGCCATGCTCTGTTCCAGCTCAGAGGATGGCGTCCATTGTCTCTTGAGGTGTTTCTCACTGACGTCCTGTGGGTTGTCTCGTTCCTTCAGCTGGGCAGTAACGTGGTATGATGCTTGAGATCAGTGCGGATTCTGGTGGGTCTCCGCGCTGCTCACTGAAGTCCATTCTCCGTTTAAATCCGTGGGCAGCCATCTGGAACGAGCTGCCGTTCTCCCCGTATGGTAGGAGGGAGTGCTCTAACAGGATGTGAGCACGCCGTTTTGGGCTGTGTTCATTAGCATCCGCTCGCTGCCTGTTCAGGCTCTTCACCGAGCTTCACATCAGGTTCAGACTCTTGCAGAATTACCGCTTTCTACATCTACACCTGAGCCGGATATATTATCTGAGAGCTTATCTTATTTTGCAGAGACATAAGGCCATCTCTCTACAGTTGGGAGAGTACGTGGTTTTTCTATGGCCAGTGGATATCTTCGTATTGTTTCATTTGTAGAGTTCCGAGATCCAGTATGGACAATAACATGCTCTCTGATCGTTTTGGTCTTCAGGAAACACCAAACAGATCAGTGGGTGTCGGGATGACCATTACCTGTGGCTGATCTGTCATCAATTGTCTTCCCGCATCGAGCTGTGGTTTCAAGCCCTGTATGTTTCCTAAGTTGCTCCGAGTCGCATCGTCGGTTTACTTATTAGGATCTGATGAAAAAATTCAAGTGAGCGGGTCCGGGTTTTTTAGTGTCATTACGGCACGCCTTCTGGGACGAGAGACTTTGGTTTACAAAGAACAAATGGTGCTCTAGAGGGAAGATTCAGGTGATTAAGGGGGGGGTTGGGGTGTGGGGGCGGTTACCTTGGGTTTTGGTGAATGGCTAATGGTTCAAAAAGCCAAAAACATCGTTATGACATCACAAAGTGGCCAAAATCTGATCAGCTCAATTTTCAGACCAGGTTTTTTATTAGAAATGGATCAAGGACAAAAAGAAGAGAGAATCTTTGTTCCTGGAAAACTTTCAGAGTCTCTTAACACAGAAGGGGACACATGTTGAATGTAGAAGAGACATGAAAGCAAGCAGGGGACACATGTTGCTTGTAGACAGAGACATGAAATGAAGAGGGGACACATGTTTCTGAGTACGAAGAGACATGGAGGAAGAGGGGAGCATATGTTTATGTAGAGCCAGAGACATGGAAAAGAGGGGACACATGCTTGAGCGTAGAAGAGACACCCCCCCCGGAGTGAGAAGAGGGGACACATGTTGATGTAAAGAGACATGAGAAGAGGGACGGGACACATGTTGATGCTAGATCAGAGACATGGAGAAGAGGGGACACATGTTGATGTTAAAGCAGACACCATGGCAGAACAGGAGGACACATGTTGATGTAGAAAAAGACGACATGGAGAAGAGGGTGAACACATCGTTGATGTAGCAAGAGAACGATGAAGAAAGCAGGGACAATGTTGATGTAAAAGAGACATGAAGAAGAGCGGGACAACATGGTTGATGTTAGAAGAGACATGAAGAAGCAGGGACACATGTCGATGTAGAAGAGGAGCATCTGAAGAAGAGGGGAACACATGTCTGAGATGAAGAGGACATGAACAAAGTGGATTTTGGCATAATTGGTCGACCTTTCAGTCCGCATCTTGATAAACCCTCCGGTAAAACTCCCCGCAACAACATTAAGTTTGGTCCTATCTTGTGGATAAATTCGAGTGTTTGTTTTCCAGCATTTTGTCGCCTTTGCTCGCAAGTTGAATAGATCCACAGTGTTACAATGAGGGATAGAAAAAAGGTATCTAGTTTCTTTTGGTAAGTTATCGTATTCATGTTGTGCTACCAAATAAATGTTGTTTTCAGTACAGCTAGCACGTAACATGTAAATATATGTTTTTGTTCATATGTTCATGAGTTTACTAGTGTATTGTGTTCGAACATTTAATAAGCCCGTGTCCCGATGAAGCCACCCTCAGCTTCTCTGACAATGAATAACTGAGTATCTCTTCACTTGTTGACGTTCAGTGATAACTCTGTTTGCTAAATCAATGAACCCTCACTATTCTTCCAGCAGTGTTTGCATTGTATTCATCCTGATGTGTTTGCCAGTGAACACATTAAGATTAAAGGGGTCAATAAAGGCACCTGTTTTATCCAGGGTGCGCTTGTTTTCGTGTCTCCTCGTAGAGAGTTACTACAACATCCTGGTTCTGAACGGGGTGCAGAGGATCGTAGTGAGAGCCTGTCAGCGTTTCCCCGACAACGCCAAGCTGCAGGCGGCCGCTCTGTCCTGCCTGGCTGACCTGAGTGAGGACACACACACACACACACACACACACACACACACACACACACACACACACACACACACACACACACACACACACACACACACACACACACACACACACAACTTCAGGGGACGTTACATTGACTTACATGCATTTCCTGGAGACTTATCCTAACTTTAACCATAACCAACACATGCCTAACCCTAACCAAGTCTTCACCCTAAAATTAATGACTCCCCTTATGGGGACCTCCATTTTGTCCCCATAAGGGAGGCGAGTCCCCACACGTGACTGTGTAAACAGATTTAGGTCCCCAAAAGTATAGTAATGCTAGGCCCCACACACACACACACACGGTTGAATTTCTGTTTTGTGGTCCTCATATCTTCACAAGAAAGTGTGCAAAGGTATTTGTATCTGCTTATTTTAGTTATTTAAATAGTCC